TATTTGCTGAAGAGAACAGAGTTTAATAGGGAACTTAGAAGCAGGTCCTAGGTTTTCTAATTTTGGGCCGATGACTCCTACAGTATACCACAATGAGATTCAGTTTTTTGTTTGCTCTTATTTCAATATGTCATCAGATTTTAATAAATAAAAGTTCAATTTAATGACTAGCCTCTATTTTTAGTTCTTGATTAATTTAATTTTCAAATAGATGATATATTTATATTGGTCAAAAATCTAAACACATGAAAGTGTTCATAAAATATATGTGGTCAAAATGAGATTAGTTATCCTCAGATCATCTTTTATGATATTATTTTTTTTCCAGGAAATTTCCCTATAGAGACAACCAGTTTGAAGCAAATGCTCCTCTCACTCATTTCCTTTATGCTCTTCCTATTTAAATTTTTTTTAAAACATAGACACAGCATAATGATTACCAGAGGTAAAGGGAGGGGCAGAGGAGGTAGAAGAGGTAAAGAGTAGATAAATGGTGATGGAAGGAGACTTGATTTGAGGTGGTGAACCCACAATACAATATACAGATGATGTATTACAGAATTGTACACCTGAAGTCTATATAATTTTGTTAACCAATGTCACCCCAATAAACTCAACTAAACATTTTAAATTAAAAATAATAGCCTGGCTAGCGTGGCTCAGTGTTTGAGCATCGACCTATGAATCAGGAGGTCATGGTTCAATTCCTGGTCAGGTCACATATCCAGGTTCCAGGCTCGATCCCTGGTGGGGGCCTGCAGAGGCAACAGGAGCTGATCAGTAATTCTCTTTCATCATTGATGTTTCTATCTATCTCTCCCTCTCCCTTCCTCTCTGAAATCAATAAAAATATATTATAAAAATAAAATAGTTACCTATAATCTCATCTTCCAGGATTGCTGTTTTTATTTTTTGTATATTAGCATCTGCATGTATATTCATTTATATGATGCATATTATTCTGCAGTCTTTGCTCAATATTACATCATAAAGTACATATTTCAATAAAGTGTTTCAAAAGCACTTGTTTTATAATAAAGCCAGCACAACCCTGATACTAAAGCCTAATAGTGACATTATATAAAAAGAAAACAGAAAGATATATTTTTTAAAAGTAGCAAATTGTCCTGGCTGGATAGCTCAGTTGATTAGAACATTGTTCTGATACGCCAAGGTTGGGGGTTTGATCCTTGGTCAGGGCACATACAAGAATCAACCAATGAATGCATAAGTAAGTGCAACAACAAATCGATGTTTCTCGCTCCCTCTCTCTTGTCCTCTCCCTCCCTCCCTCCTCTCCTTCTCTCTGTCTAAATCAATTAAAAAAATTTTTTTTAAATTAGCAAATTGCATCTAGTAATATATGAAAGGGATAATACATTATGACCAAGTGGGGCTTATCTCAGGAATGCAGTGTTGTTAAACATTTGAACATCAATCAATATAATATGCCACATTGACAAAACAAATGAGAAAAGCCATATGATATTTCAGTAAATGTGGAAAAAGCATTTGACCAATTCAGCATTCATTCATGAAAAAAATTTCAGCAAAATAGGAATAGAAGAAAACATCTTCTCCCGGATGTAGATGTGGTTAAAGTTAAGGGCTTTGATGTGGAGACTGTCCTTTATTTTCCGAGTGAGCCCAATTTAATCACGAGTCCTTAAAGGTAGAAGAGGAAACCAAAAGGGTGGGTCAGAGAGGAGCAATATGAGGAGTCATTCAAAGCCATTATTGACTTTGAAGATGGAGGAAGGGAGCCATGAGTCAAAAATTGAGGTAACCCCTAGAAGCTGGGAAGTGCCCTCAGCTTACAGGCAGCAAGAAAGGGGGAGACCCGGGTTTTATGGCCAGGAAGAGCTAAATCCTGTGAACAACCCAAACCAGCAGGAAATGGATTTTTCTGTAGAGCCCCCTGAATCAAAAGCAGCTTGCTGATAGATTGATTGTAACCCCTTGAAACCTGTAGTGCAGCTTCAGAACTGTATGGTAACAAATGTGTGCTGTTTCAAGCTAAGTTCATGGGGATTTGCAAATGGCAACAATGTAAAAATGAATGAAATATTCAACTTCTCAAAGCAGATAACTTTAGCAAATTAATTAAAAATATATATATATTTTTTATTGATTTTTTTTACAGAGAGTTAGAAACATCGATAAGAGCTGCCTCTTGCACACCCCCTACTGGGGATGTGCCCGTAGCCAAGGTACATGCCCTTGACCGGAATTGAACCCAGGATCTTTCAGTCCGCAGGCCGACGCTCTATCCACTGAGCCAAAACGGTTTCAGCTAGCAAATTAAATTTGTTAAATACAGAATTGTAGATGGTTTGTTCATTCCATTTAATATTTGTTAAGTTTTAATGTGTTTGTGCATGTTTTTAATATGTGTATGTGTTCAAGTACAAAATATTCTTTTGTGTACATATATTTTAATGTACGTAAGTAAAATTGTGTTAAGAACTCATTCAGTTTTTTAGTTTTTCCTCTCAGAAGTGCTAAGAGCTACCTCTGATGCTAGAACAGCTTAGTGGTGCTGTTCAAACTGCTCCATTGCGTGCCTCCACGTTTTACTTAGCCAGTTCCACAGTGAAGGTCACCTGGACTGCAACACCACAAATGAGGAATGTCTTTATATTATCTACCCATTACTGCATAATAAATCTCCTAAAACTTAGCCATTTAAAACAACATTGTTTCACAGTTTTTAGGATCAGGAATCTGGATACAGCTTAGGTTGGTGTCCCAGACTCAAGTGTCTCATGATGTTGTAGTTGAGTTTGTTGCTGGGGCTGAGGTCTCATCTGAAGCGTCAACTAGGAAGTATCTGCTTCCTAGATTTCTCACTTGGCTTTTGGTAGGATTTAATTCCTCTAGGACTGAGGGCCTCTGTTCCTATTGACTGGAGGCCTCCCTTAATTCCAGGTGAACTTCTTCATATGTCAGCTCACTACAGGGCAGCTGGCTTTCCTCAGATAAAGCAAATGGAAGAATGAGAGCATCCCCAACACAAGCCATCATCTGTGTGTAAGCTCATGTCTCAGAAGTGGGCTTATCACTGTATTCGCTTTGTTAGAAGCGAGTCACCAGATACAAGGGGAGGAAACTACACAAGATCATGAATATTAGGAAGTAGGGATTATTGGGGTCATTTAGGGAGTGTCTTCCACAGCGAGACATATTTCTGTGAATTTTTTGGGGGGGATGTATACATAATGGGGTTATAGGTTGTTTTCTAAAATGATTGGTTAATATTCCCATGAGCAGTACATGAGGGTTTATATATCAGCATATGCCTGCCACTCCTTTACATTTTCTAGGGCATAAAGGGATAGCATATTGTTTTAAAGTGACTTTATATTTTCCACTCTTGTTTTCTAGTGGAGTTCTTGCCTTTATTTTATTTTATTTTTTTGCCATCTGCAGGAATTGCGTCTAACATTCTAGATATTGGTTTTTTGTTCTTCCCCCTAATCTATCTCTGTTAACTTTGTCCAAAGTTTCATTTGTTGAGCAATAATTTTTAGTCTTGATATAATTAAATGCCTTTGCTTTTGGCTTTGTGGTTTGTGCTCGTAGGCTTTTATTTGAGAAGTCCTTTCTTATGCTGATGTTACCAACATATCAGTATACATTTTCTTCTATTAACTTTAGTTTTGCCATTCACATCTAAGTCTGTAATTTATCTGTCATAGGTCTTTGATAGTAGGTAATAAGTTAGGGATCCATAATTTTTTAGCTTTATGAAATGAACCCCTATTTTCCTAACACCATGTTCTGTACAATTTGTTTTTTCTCCATTTTCTGGATCCATCTTTATTATATATTGATTCTATATATACACATTCTATATATTGGTTTGGCTATATGTTTAGTTCTCAATTGGGTTCCACTGGTTTATTTTTATGTGATGTTTTTATTACTATAATGATATTGCATGGCATTAGATAAATTGAATGGGCCTCTTGAGTTTTGTGTTCTTTGTATTGAAAAGACATTTCTGTCAACACTATAATTCTGTTTTTAAAGTATCTGGTAGAATTTAAGCTTGCCTAGTTCTAGCATTAAGTCATCTTTAATTTGTTTAATAATCCCCACTTAAGTAGATAGTAAGTGTTTTTCTTTGGGCTTTCCATAAATATTTCAGTTCCATAAAATATTTTTATGTTCTGGAATTATTACTTTTTTTGCTGTGTTGTTGAGATTTCTACTTTCATAGTCTAACATGTTACTGTTACCCATGATAATCTTGTTTAAATTTTTGTAATAACTGAAGATTTCTTAAGGCATTTATTCCTGTTCGTGCTCCTCAGAAAAATTTTGTTTCCTTTTTATTTGATCTAAGATTTATTTCTACCCTTGATCTTAGCCAAATGGCCGAGATGTGGTAAGATTTATTTCTAAAAGGGAATAATGATCTTGGGAAGGGACAAGAGTATTCCTTCCCAAAAGAAATATGCATGTAAAACAGGAATAATTTGTTGAGTGTTCATACTTTCTGAACACGCAGAGTTGGCTTTGAGAATGAGGGCACTAGAGATGGGAGTATAGAACATGCCATTGTTCTCATGGTAAAGTGACTGTCAACTTGAAAAGGCATTCTTTTCTTTCCTACACTGATTTCTCTTCAGTTTTATAATCTGAATATTTCTTTCTGTGTTATCACTAAACAGGGATGAACATAAGGGCTGTAGAATGGATCTTTAAAGCAGAGTACTGCTAGTAATGGTTTCCATTATACACTAATAAATAGACTTGTTATTCAGTAGGAGATGGGAATGGGAAAATAGGGAAGTAATGGGATACCTGACCCAACTAATGACTGGGGAACGGTTTCATATTTTTTCTCAACTTAATTTTTATGTTAACCATATTAGTATTTTTTTTATAATATAAGCATGTTGAATATTTAGATTTGAGTTTTTAAATTCAGAAAAGAGCAATATATTACTGTTCTAAACTGATCCATTATTCTGTTTTGTTTCCTATTTCTCCAGAGACATTACATATGAAATATCAGTAGAAGCTATATCAACAATGATTGTTTTCCTTTCCTGTCAACTATATCACAAGGAAGTTTTGCGACAGAGTATCAGTCACAAGTATTTGATGCGAGGTCGATGGTATGTTTCTATTTTAATTGGAGGGGAGTGGGGGGAAAGCAGACAGAGAGAGGGAGACAGACAGACAGATAGACCTGGAGTGACTACCTCCCACACTCTCCCAACCAGAGTTGGGATGGAGCCTGTAGCTAAGGTTCCTGCCCTTGACTGAAGTTGAACTCAAGACCCTTAAGTTTGAGGGCCAATGCTCCAACCACTGAGCCAAACCAGCCAGGGCTAAATTTGTCTAGGTTTTTAACAAAATAGTCACGGGGATGTAAAATATAACATAGGGTATATAGTCAACAATACGGTAATAACTATGTATGGTGCCAGATGGGTACTGAAAATATTGGGAGGACGACTTTGTAAATTATATGGTTGTCTAACCACTGTGCTGTACACCTGAAAGTAATCTACACTAATAAAAGAGAAACATGCAAATTGACTGTCCATCCACCATACCCACTAGCCAATCAGAGTGAGTATGCAAATTAACTCAACAAAGATGGAGGTTAATTTGCATACACAGGGTAGAGTGAAGACTGCAGGCAGCATAGAAGGAAGCCAAGTGCTGCAGAAGGGAGTGAAGCTGCAGAGAAGCAAGCGGAGTGGCGGAGACAGGAGGGAAGCAGGTGGAGCAGCGGAGAACCCCTATTCCTCAAGCCGCAGGAAACAATATTCTTGCAGAAATCTTTCTGCAATGGGCCTCTAGTATAAAATAAAATTGAATGTCAACTATAAATAGATAATTAAAAAGTGAAAAACAAAAAATAAATTTGTCTTTTTTTTTTTCTATAAATCTATAGTTTTGGTCTTATCCCCTTAGTATTTTTAAAATCTTTATTTATTGATTGATTTTTGAGAAAAAGAGAGAAAAAGAGATATATTGATCTGTTGTTCCACTTATTTATTGCATTTATTGGTTGATTTTTTGTATGTGCCCTGACTGGGTATCTAACTGCAAACCTTGGCCTAACCAAATGATGCTCTAACCAACTGAGCTATCTGACCAGGTATTGTTCTGTATCTTCAACCAGACATTCCTCTAATTATTCTATCAGCACCTTCAACACATAAGGAACCAGATTCTCCTTTTTTGTCCAAACTGTCCATCCTTCCTACTCCATTACTCCCCAGCTCCATTGCTTTCTGTAGTGATTTCTTTGCAGAATTAAAACTTAGACGTTACTTTCTTCTCTATCATTCTCTAATGTCTAAGCAGTCATCCAGTAATATTTCATTGAAATTATTTTTGTGTCTTTCCCTTTTCACCAGTTCCACATAACCTCTTGACTGACTGTTCCTATTTTCATTGAGTCAATACGCCTTTATTGTGTGCTAACCATGTGCCAGGCATATTAGGAAGTAGGGCTATACTCTGAACAGAAGCTTACAGTCTTCTAGTGGGCGGGGATGGGAATAGATAAACACACACACACACACACACACACACACACTCACACACCTTTTATTGATACAGTCTTTACAGAATTTTGAATGTAAGACAAAGACAGAGTAGCTTTGATTAAAGTTCTCAGGGACTTTCATCCTTCTTACTACTTTTGTTTTCTTCTTGGCACCTTCACTGATAATATGGAAAAGGCCTGAGCTTTTGCTCAAGAGTCTATTGAGAAATTTTCTCTATATTGCAGGAACTGATCTATCACCAATTTGTGGACACATACCCCTTTTCACCTATTTTTTTTCTCCCTTTTCCTCATCTCATTACTTAGAAGCAAAGAGTATAACGTTTACAAAATCTATACATACAGATATATTTTTGTTTGCATGCACTAATTAAATAACTTCATACTTAAAGAGTATACTCTTTTATATTATTGCTTTTTAATTCTTTTCCCCTACTAATTCTATATTACTATCCCCCTTCAAGTGCCAGGTACTGTACTATACACTGAATTTATAATATCTCGCCTGTTAAACAGATTACAAATAAGGCGAGTTCAAAAGTGGAAGTGAATTGATCAGTGATCTATGGCATAGTAAGGAGAAAGCCAGATTAAGCCTCAAGTCTGATGGTCTTCACTATTATGTGACTATGCTAGACTTCTTTGAATTGTGCTAATCCTTTTGTATTATTAGATCATATAGATGATTTTCTTCTTTTGTCTTTTCTGTGTAGTCTTCCATACACCAGCAAACTTGTGAAAACGTTATTGTATAACTTCATCAGACAAGAAAAGCCACCTCCCCCAGGTGCCCATGTTTTCTCTCAGCAATCGGATGGGGGAGGACTCCTGTATGGACTTGCATCAGGCGTAGCAAGTAAGCCCTTTCTGATTTTTTCAGTACTTTGATGTACACAGATTGTTGTTTAATGAGTCGTAAATAATTCCATTTTCCTTGGCTGCCACTCCTAACAGTTATATTGGATCTGGGCAGCTGTGCAAATGTGACATACTGAAAGTAATTTAAAACATTTAGTTTTGCATTCGGTGTAGTGAATGCACTTAAATATATGCAAATAATGAATAAATTGTTTACCTATAAGGCACCATTTTTTTAAGAAGAAGGTTTATAAATATGCATATTGTATGAGTTCTGGCTGTACAATTCAGTTAAGCTCTTCGTAACTTTTTAACTGCTTGTGTTTTGTGAGGAAATCATTCTGTTTTAAGGACTGTATTAGTTAGGGTTTTATGTGACTAATTGGGTATAGTTTTCTTATTGTAATAAATGTTTCATTTGTTGATGACCAATTAGTATATTTTGAAGAGTTTTGTTATAAATTCAAAAGTGGCACAAATATGAATTTTATCAGATTAGAAGCAAATTTTGTTAACTGTGCGAAGTCCTTTCCCACCAAAGCCTCATTTCTGCTTCACAGTGATCAGACTAAGACTGGGGAAGTATCGAGTACCTCTGGTCTGCCCCTTTGTTGGTGTGAGGACCTATGCCACGAGAGGTTATATAAACGGAACTTTTGCTTTATCTGAAGGAGAAAAGTAAGCTGATATTTGGGAAATTGTGAGGTCTGCACAGTTGCTCTTACTAAATGTTCTACTTAAGCACATGGTGCAGAGTTCGGCTGTTGGAGGAATTTAAACGGAGCTGAGTTCCACAGCTGAATTGTGATGGACACATCCTCCCCACACTCAGAGAGGAACATCAGATTGATAAGAAAATGGAGAACTACAGTGTGGTAACATTAATGAGTCACGGGAACCTCTTTGTATTAAAGATCTCTCTGTTGACTTTAGGAATTGATCTCTGAACCAGGCTTTTTAGGTTTGCCTTCCTTTGATTTCTTTTAATTATGAGTTGAATTACATTTGTGATCACTCATAGTTTTGTCTTTGGTGCTGAGCAGGCTGCCTAGAATACCAGACCTGCAGAATTTTATTCTCCGAGTTACTCTTGCCTACTGCCCGCCTTGTTTCAGGTGAGCAGGCTGTTCATGCTTGCTCATTTATGGCCATGAAGGGAGCATAGGCATGGCTTTTTGTGTCCCGTGGGAAGACTTCATTAATCCAGTAGTATTTTATTTTTTATTTTTATTTTTTAAAATACATTTTATTAATTTTTTACAGAGAGGAAGAGAGAGTGATAGTTAGAAACATTGATGAGAGAGAATCATCGATCAGCTGCCTCTTGCACCCCGCCCCCCCCCCCCCACTGGGGATGTGCCCACAGCCAAGGTACATGCCCTTGACTGGAATCGAACCTGGGACCTTTCAGTCCCCAGGCCAACGCTCTATCCACTGAGCCAAACCGGCTTTGGCAGTATTTGATTTTTTAAATTATTAAACCGGTATAGGGATTTAAAGGTTGAGTATTTTGCAATACTCCAATATGGTTGGGGATTTTGAGGAGCAGGTAGTATAGGGTCATTCATTGCTTTCTCCAAAACAATGGCAAAACTTTGGAGTTGTTTAAAAAAGTAAACATAGATTCATGGGTGGTTTTGGTTTTTCTTGAATTTATGTGGCATGAGAATGAAGTCCAGGATGGCATCTGGTGTCATCAGTACAGGTGCCAAAACACTTGACTTCCTAATGTTAGATCTGTTCCCACCTAGCTAGCAGTATATAGTCTTAATTTCCCTTCCTTCCAGGTTCCTTGTCTTTCAAATGAGGAAGTTGGGATAGATGATCTGAGATTATTTCCATCTAATTTTCAGTGAATCTATGGTCTTTTCCTCTGCCATTTTAAAAAAATATATTTTATTGATTTTGTACAGAGAGGAAGGGAGAGAGATAGAGAGTTAGAAACATCGATGAGAGAGTCATCGATCAGTTGCCTCTTACACACCCCCTACTGGGGATTTGCCCGCAACCAAGGTACATGCCCTTGACCGGAATCGAACCCGGGACCCTTCAGTCCCCAAGCTGACGCTCTATCCATTGAGCCAAACCGGTCTTGGCTCCTCTGCCATTTTAAAAGTTACTATTCAGTTAAGGGCATTAAAATAGTTAAAATTTTTAGTGTGCTATAGTTACAGCACATTTTATATAGCTTTCTTTCTAGACCTTTACAAATCTATTCATACAAAAATATAAACATAGTGGAGTAATTATCGTTATTTCACAGTATGCAAGTCAAAGGATTATAAAAACAACAAAAGGACATTTTCTTAAAAAGCAAAGCTGGATTGTGGGTAAAATGTAAATTTGATCACAGTATGTAATTTGAATTAAGCCACATTCTAGGAAAGTCAGTCAAACTGACAAAGAAAATTGACTTTAGTTTTTAGTGATCACTTTTGATGATTTTTTTGGTGGTAGTTAGGAATTTTCCTACTTTAAAACAGTGCTTTTAAAATTTTTGGGGGAGTTTTAGAGAAAGAGAGAGATCAAGGAGAGATAGAAACATTGATGTGAGAGAGAAGCATTGGTTGGTTGCCTCTCATATGCATCCTGACTGGGGATCAAACCCACAACTTGCTCATGTGCCCTGACCGGGAATTGAACCAGCGACCTTTTAGTGCATGGGATGGTACTCAACCAGCAGAGACACACTTTCCAGGGCAGAATTTTCTTACTTTAATAATGGCTTGAGAAAATTTGATTCGGAGATTTCTCACTGAAAAGAAATAATGTCGCAAAGCTAGATGCAGATTATAAATGCTTTTGGATTATCTTCATTTTTGTTGGGATTGAATTTTTCGTGGGACAGAAAACATTTCCTTTCATAGTGTGTGTATTGTATGTTTTGCTGAAATTATTTCCTCTGAAACAGCATGCCTTATTTTGGAAAACTTTATAGTTTTGGATAGTGAAGTTCTGTTGGCTCTGGCAAGGGAAGATGGGAATCCTAGTGCTAGAACTGGGTCCAGATGAGTAATGAGTCACATGTTTGGGCCCTCACAGGAGTCAGGCAAGCCTTCTCCAGTTCATTCTCATTTATTTCCAGTTATCTATTATCTGTTTCCTAGATTCCTGCAAAACCTTTTTAAATCTTCCCTCCCTTCCACCTCTTTTATATGCCTTTGCTTAGGTTATCTCTTTAACCTAGAATCCTCCTTTCTCCTCTCTGTCACTTTAATTTTCTGCCCATCCACCCATTGAGGCCCATCCCCAGTCCTACCTTCTCTATGAAGAGTTCCTTTCCTCCCTCCTAGCAGGAGGTAATCTTTTCCTGTGGCACTCACTCTGCTTTGCGTTATGATTACTATGTAGGAGTTTCATCTCCCTACATGCTCTACATACAATACAATAGGAGCTAACATATTTATAACACTTGTGAGCTTTTAGAGCAACTTTTTGCATATCTTATGGCTATCTTATGAAATAGATGTTTTTACCTTTTGATGTGATGGATGTAGAGATGTTCCTACCTATTAAATTGCTTGTCTAAGATCACACAGGAAAGAGGTAATGTTGGTTTTTGCACTTGAGCTTAGTTTCTTTGCTTCCCGAACTTTGCTGTCTTGTCTCTCATTGTTACTCTCTGACTCCTGAGTTTGTAAGCGGCTCTTGACTTCTCTGAGGTTTTTCACTGCAGTCTCTAGCACAGCACCTTACATCTGGACTCTCAGTACATACTTATATGTAATTAAATACCAAAAACTAATGCTCATGTGCACTCGAGGTAGGTGTGAAGTCAGTTATAGCGACATGACTATCATTTTTCTAATGCCTTCTGTTTGCCATACAGGTGTTAGTAGCTATTTTACATATATGATTCTTATCTGCTCTTTAAAAAATATATAGTTTTGCTGAAACCAGTTTGGCGTTGGCCTGCGGACTGAGAGGTCCCAGGTTCGATTCTGGTTAAGGGCATTGGTTGTGGGATGTGCAGGAGGCAGCTGGTTGATGTTTCTCTCTCATCGATGTTTCTAGCTCTCCCTCCCTCTCCCTCCCTCTCTGTAAAAAATCAATATATATATATATATATATATATATATATATATATATATATATATATATAGTTTTACTGATTTCAGAGAGGAAGAGAGAGAGAGAGAATCATTGGTTGGCTGTCTCCTGCGCGCCCCACACCAGGAATGAGCCCGAAACTGGGTATGTGTCCCAACTGGGAATTGAACTGTGCATAAGTTGACACTCAACCACTGAGCCATGCTGGCCAGGCTCCCTCCTCCTCTTTTTAAAAGCTTTATTTGGAAATAAAAGTCACACATATAGAAAAGTTCCAAAAATAAAAATATTATAAAAAAGTCTATATAGCTTTATCTAGGTTGATTTGTTAGTATTCTCATTTGTTATATATTTGTAATCTTTCCTTCCCCCTTTTATCATTTTGCACGAGTGCACATGCACACGCACACACACACTTTTTTGTAATCAGTTGAGAGTAAGTTACATTCATCATTGCCCCTTTATCCCTAAATATTTGAATGTGTACTTTCCAAAAGGTAACATTTCTCACACAACCATAGTATACTTACCAAGTTAGTCAATTTAACAGTCAGCTATCCTTAAAAACAAATGAGGTAGGCATTTGTTTCTACCTCAGTCAAAATAAAGAATGGAGATTTCCCCCTATAGTTCAGAATCTCCTTTAGTAAGTACATAATGTCATTTGTGTTGCTCTTAAATTGAATTTTTACAATTAGGTTTTCCTGGGCCTGTGCATACCAATTTATCTCTCTTAGACTAAACACTCCAGGCTGCAGCATCTGTCCTTCTTGTTTATTATTGGCCTGCAGAACACAGGGAGTGCTTGGATAATGTTTGCTCAGTGTCATAAATAATTAGAGAGGTTATTAATACTTTTTAATTCCTACTGGTAAGTTTCTTTGCAGTTAAGGAGAGTAGTGAAAATTACCTTGTCTAGATTTTGTTCTTTTTAAAGAAATGTTTATA